GAGACATTACTGTGGTGGTTTTAATTTCAATACTGACTAATTGAGCTAAAAATTACAGTACTTAAAATACTTAATACATGATTTAAATACAATCAGTACACATATATTACAATCTTATGGAATATCAAGTACAGCTAGAGTATCTAGTTCCATATTCTCTCTTTTTAAAAACAATAAATGTATAAAGAATCATATAAATAAAAAATATGAACATCATCGGTATATTGTCTCACCTTCGTGCTAAATTCGTATTTACAATAACAGTGTAGAAGTAATATTATAATACAATCTTACATGACATGATCAGTTTGCAATTGCATGAAGACAATATATTGACTAGATTCTTTCTCAGGAGAGCATCTTATTGTCTACTTTACTTTCTTTTTGTTCAAAGCGCTCCCGTGAGATTTTTGTTCGTAGTTTTATAAGAGTGCTACCAGGCAGCGATCCAGGTACTTTAAATATGCTCTAAGATAAGAAGAATTCATTGATGTTATTAGTTATCACATATTGAATTTTAATTCTTAAATGAGTATCTAATACCTACTTGCATAAATTCGTGACATTTTAAAACAATACTGTCCTTCGTTATCTCTTTAAAACATTCCGCTAATGTTGTAAAATCTTGACACGCAAGTAAGTTGCCCTTGTTCCTTTTTATAAGAGTTAATGCAACACGGAAAATAATTTTACTTCCTTCATAAAACAGACAATCCCATATGCGCAGCGTAGTCTGCCAAGTTGTAAACATTTTATTCAGTACTTCTATAGTTTATGGCAATCCAAACAAGAATTCAATTATTAATATAAAACATTAAACTAAAAATGATTTTTTGAACTCTACACATATTGCTTATAAAATCTTCAATGAAAATAAAGCATTAAATTCATGATAACTTAAAATGCATGATTAATTTTACCTCAATTGGTAAGACTTCAGCAAATAAACAAACAAACCATTTCGTTGTAATAACTGCCCAAGGTAAGCCTGTATTTGTAACATGCTGATAAATATCCGGCATTTTTATTCTAGAAAAGTATTGGTAATGTATGTATATATATTGTGTAATTTACAAGCTATTAATAAAAATTTAAAAGATCATTACTTGA